GAGAACAATGGCAGTTATACATGATGTGACAACAACAATTAACACAGAGAATGCCCCCCCCCCCCCCCCCCCCCCCGACAGGGTTTCGGGTTTCGTGCTTGTCACCTTTTTCACCTCTTGTGAGTTTGCAGGTATGAAATGCGTCAAGTGACGAAAAAAAACAACCAAGTGGAGTTGTGACTCATTTTTCTCTCATTCGCTGTGTTAATTGTTGTTGTCACATCATGTATAACTGCCATTGTTCTCGTCTTGACGTGTGGAAAATGTTTGTATTAAAACAAGTTTCTCTTTGTGTGTGTCTGCTGTGCTGCGTGTAGTTCTACCATGCCAGGATAGACGCTGTGCATCCGTCCGGCTCCACGGCTGTGGTTGTGTTCAGTGATTACGGAAACTGTGAAGAGGTCCTGCTGCATAACATCAAACCCCTTTCTGCTGATGTTTTGGTAAGACGAGATATTAATAATAGAATTCATCATTCATGCGTTACCAAGTGGAAGCAACTAATTAAACTGTATTCAAGTGGGTTGAGAGAGGAGGAAATGACATCTTAATCTGATTACCCACAGTAACATCACAACCCTATCAAATGTCCAATGGCAGGAGGAAGATGATGGCTACTACGACAGTTCATTAGAGTTTCGCGGTGGGGGAGACGGACAGCATAGACGCACCAGACCCACACAGCAGTATTACCAGCCTCCTAGGGCACGAGATTGATGTGTCTGCGTTTACACTGGCAGGTAAATAAATATGAAACTGTGGTGTTTTGTTTTTTTTCAATTAATAATTGGACATCGAACATTGTGTGAAGAATCTTCCTATTTTTATATGGCAGCTTTTTATTCACAGCATTGCTCTTCATTGTAGTGGGAGTCTTGAATTGTACAATAAAAAAAAAAAAGAAATTTCATGCTCTCATTTTTATGTAAAAAAAAAAAAATGATTCTAAATAATTGTATGATTTCAACTTTGGCTGCTGCTGCTGGTACATCGCATTGTGTAAAAACTATTTCTCAAGGTGATCTTAAAAGAGTCCAGAATGCAAACCTGGTTCATTTTTTGTAATTTGATGTATTGATTTTTCTTTTTCTTCACCCATCTGTGTGCTCGTCCCACATCCTCCCATGACAGAGTTTTTGTCAACTTTCTGCAACAATCCAGAATGCTTCCTAAATTTGTAATCATCCACATAGCCAGGACGTACAGGACTTTTTAAAGGGCTTGGACATAACGCGTATATATATATATATATATATAATGAAAGAGCACCTGTTGATATTGTTAAGGACATATCTACTGTACATGTTGTGAAGCTTTGTTAAATGAATGCATTAAAATAAAAAAAGATTATGGTATGTAGCGAATATGTTGTTTAAGTGTGTTTTATTTTGAATTTGATATGCTGAGACTAATCCAGAGCAAAGACAGAAACATCTGGGGGGTCCTTGTTTTTTCTTTTTTTGTAAATATGTTTTATTGGTTTTCACAGGTTTTATCCCACCAGGGAAGAGGATTCACACGTTTGAATGCAACTACAGATTGAAATTTAAAACCTCATTCCTGACCCACCTACCCATTGTAGGGTTACAGGCTACAGAACTTATACATTCAGGTGACGGAGATATAGACATAAGATCAAATAATTGCATTAATCGATCAAACAGAGCGAGAGTAAAATAAAACAATCTTAGTAAAGCTAAGAAAAGCAAGAGAATAGAGAGTTACTAAGCAAAAATCTGAAAAGTCACATAAAAAAACAAAATGAATAAATAAATTGTTTTGTTTTGTTTGATCTCATGACAGTTATGATTGTCAGTTAGTTTGACTTCATCACGGAATAGATTAGAGTTCTTGTCCCATTGTTTACCTCTTTCATTTCTCCTCTTGTGGACAGCATAGGTACTATTAGTCCATAGCAAGCAGCTCAAGCTCATTTGTTGTGTTCTGCGAAGCAAATCCAAAGGGTAAGGCAATCTCTTCCCCCTGTAATAGAGACGGTTACACTGCAGAGATATCATTTTGCACAATACAAAAGGGACTGTACCCAGCTCTTCCAGCATTGCACACACACCACTGAGCTGCCCGTCTATGGACTTGTGCTTCGCGAGAGACAAGTTTTACACATCAAGAAGTAATCTCCACCCGGGCTCCAATTTCACTCACACCAGCAGCGGGAGACAAATGGACAATGCACGCGAGTTCAGCAGAGAGGTCGCCGCGCTATTCTGTGTCATTGGTCCAAAAGGATTTGCTTTATTTTCCAGCTGAGGTGCCAAAACGCGCACAGATGAATAATTAACGGCCGGTAATATGGAAACCTATCTGCTGGGGAGGAACTGAAAGTGAAGCTCATGAAAGGGTTCTTGGGGACGAACCATGAAATGCTGGCCAGATAATCTTTAAGGCTTGATTTTCAATCTGATAATCCTTTCATATTCAATATTTTTCTCTTGACCCAGTGAAATTTCTGGATGGACATATTGGGCAGAGCATCTGTGGACCCTGCAGTCATTAGACTCATTAAATGTTTGGTTATTATGTGCGCAAATCTTGATTCTGTGGATTGTAGGGTCAGTTTATTTTCACAGTTCTTGAGTGTAAACTGATTCTTTTTAAAGAGAAAATCCTCACGTGACTGTTTTATGGAGAGGAACAGAAGCTGAGGTAAATTAAACGGGGGCTTGTCATAGGCTTGTTAGTATTGTCATAAATTAGCTTTATTAAAACATTTAAGTGGGTTTCTGAGGAAAACCAATCTAAAACAGTTTTTAAAAAAAAATTTCACTATGTGGGACATGATATTTATGAAGCCACATGATAACGCTGAGTAAGTGATCCAATGTCAGTGTAATGTCAGTGTGACCTCCTGTTTTGGTCCCTATAAAGAAAGTGTTGGACCAAAGAAAGTGAAAGACTGAAAGCTGGCAAACAGATTAGATTACATCGTGTTTTCCATGTTTATGTAACTGCACAGTCTGTGCAATCTTGTTGATGCTGTGATCAGAGTAAATCAAAAAGCTGTAAACACGGCATGTTTTTCTGTTACTGACCCTCTTTGGATAGATATGATCTCATTTTTCCAGTATTCTTCAAACAATCTTAGATTAGGATTGGATTGTACATGAAAGGATTTACAGTGGGAGGAGAATGTATTGGGACAGCAACTCACTTTTTAATGTTTAGGCTTGACAGGCTTTACTGCTGTCAGTTTCGGATTAATCGTATTCCCATTTACATCGGATTATGAGAGGGTGGCAGGATTGGTCAGTGGTTAGCACTGTCACCTCACAGCAAGAACGTCACAGATTCAAATCTGACCAGGATGGTCTTCCCACAGTCCAAAGGGATTTGGTGACTGTAGAATGAGCTGTGGGTGTGAAAATGAGTGTGTGCCATTTTGCCCCTTGATTATGATGATATTTACTGACAAAGCTAGCTCATCTGTAGCTACATTCATTTTTTTTCATCCATGGTTACTGAAATACCACACTCTAAAAAATGTTATGGCAACAAAGTGACATTTAATATAATTAAATAGATTTTATGTTCTACAAATTTGATAACAAAATATTGAATGAATTCACTAAATTTAAGCATAAATAATAAGTATATCCAAATCAATTTCTCAAGCAAAACTGATTTATATTTACTAAGGATCTGAGCAAAAGTAATTTTAATTTACTCAATATCTGGGTGAACTTGATTTGTATTTACTAAGTCTCTGAGGAAAATTGATTTATATTTACTGATTATTTGAGTGATATGAATATAATCTTACTAAATATCTGGATAAACGTGATTAGGATTCACTTAATAAAATGAATTGTATCAACTCATATTTTAGCAAATTTTTTGCTTAATTCAACACATTTACATTGCTATTCTTATTTATATGTACCTCACTTAATTATTTGAAATATAAGTTTAAGTCAGTATCACAAGACTTTAAATCTATTCAATAATATTAATTGTCACTTTGTTGCCATCATTTTTTTTAAAGTCTAATCAACTCAATATCATGACTTCTTAGTGTCACAGTTTAATTAATCTGATCACCATGCATAAAAAGTACAGCAACATTTATTTCAGTTCCTTTGTCTATACATATTCATCCAACACCTACAGTGTAAAATGCCAAAATACAACAATAGAGTAAAGAGAGGGGATAAAAGAACACAAAAACAGAAACAATGTTTGTGTACAATCGGGATATAGTACATTGCATAAAGGCAATACTGGCATACTTTTTAATCGTTTTTAAATAAGGTCTACACAAGCTTGATACAATTTGTTCTACGCTATAAAATATGGTAGTAAATATACCTCAACATTTTGAAGCTTTTACTTGTCTTTAAAAAGCCACTTGCTAACAAGTGGCAAAAAGAGACGTCACACCATCGTTGCATCATCACGTGCTACGTCAGATTGGTTGAAAGGGCCTATTAGAGGCAACAAATGACACAACAAACCTCAGTAGCTTGCCAATAATTACTGTAAGAAATGTAGTTATGATTGTATTTTGTGATTTGATCTACTGACATCATAATCTTTTAATACTTGATCTGTAGATTCCTCAAACACAGAAGACAACATCTCTTGTCATGGTGATGCTACGATGGCTGGTGGCCTGAAAGTCAAAAGTAAACATTATTAAGCTCTTCTGACCAAACATTTGTCAAAGCTACAATTTTTGAAAACATATGGCTTCTACGGTAAAACAAACCCCTATCACAGATCCTTGATGTGCTGTCTTAGGAACCAGCCTAATGAAACATTTCACTACAAAGGTTTCAAGAGAAGTCATCAGTCCCAGCAAAGAAATATTGCGTAGCACTCAGTTTTTGTTTAGCCAGTGTGCAGAATAAGGGGGGTCTCAGGGGGTCCAAGACCCCTTGATAGAGAATCACAGGATAACATTACCTCCTATAGATCAAAGTATGGATAGCCCCATGGTTCTGCTCTCGAATGGGAGAAGGTCCAGCAGCCTGGGAGTGAATTCATTAACTTTGATTCAATGTGCACCGTTGTGATTCTGTGAAACTCATCCTGCATCTGAAAAACAAATAATCAAACCAGCTTTAAAGTCTGAAATTGAAAGAGTGTTCATAATTTTATATAATTTGAAGACCTCCGTTCACAAAAGCAGCTCGGTGTAATCAGTCAGCCTGAGCTGCTACCTCTGTTTAAAAGCATACTATGTACTGACGTAGGGCGGTAATTCCATCTCTCCTTCTGTGGCCTCTTGTACTGAGAACAGAGACATGTAAGTGAACGTTAACAAGACAAAACCTACAGAGAACAGAATGTACGCAAGCTGAAAATGATGCTGCTTTTAACAACAAGATACTTGAGAGTACAAATTGTACTTGAGAAAACTAAATGCAGTGAATGTAACTCGTAATTACTGCGAGTACGCTTTTCATACATCTGTGCATTGGTTATTTGCTATCTAACAATAGCTTGTTAATGTTGGGGATGGAAGGAAGCTCGGGCTGAGACCAGGATAATTGGTCAAATTAAATTGGCTGGTATCTTAAAAGAGCACTTTATGAAGTATGCTTGGGAAATAATAACATGACCTTTTGACGACCACTTTTTCAGTCCTTTCCACGTTTTTAGTAGAGTCAAAGACAATGCAGACTGACTTTGAATCACAAGCTTAATTTTGATTTACAGCGCAGTAAAGTTGGCATGTTTCGTAGCTTGAAGAGGGCAAAACTTTGTTCAACTGCAGCAGCAACTTGGTTATAAACTGTTTTTTACCTAATAATAGTTAAACATGTCTTACCTTTGGGAGAACAGCAGCCCCCTGTCCGTGATGGTGGCAGATGATTGCTGATTGATGTCCATGTGGTGCAAAATACTGTGGGTTGTGTAAGCTGATTAAAATCAAAGACCTCT